CGACCGCCTAAAGTCTAGCTGAGCACGCGACACACGTGACGTTAATGATGCTACTGGTGAACGCATGTGCACATGAATACTTTACATGAACTGAACCCAGAAGGAAAGGATCAGGTAGGCTGTACAGATCAGGTGCATTTCACAACCATTGCAGCAAAGGGATCACTTTGGTTTATGACAGAGATGCCGTGTTTGCTGGAAATTTGGGTTGACAAGAGTATCGGGGAACTGCTGTATGCAACACAAATAACTCCAAAGATATTTGCTAAAATACAGGACTATCCTATATGCGCAGCACGAAAATGAAAAACACCGCATTGCATACCCAATAAATCTATACGAGGGCTTATGTGTATTTGCGGCAAAGATGACTCCAAAATAAGCCACAAAACAGGGATAATACGCATGAACTGTGCTGTGTAGTAGCGCTTTCCTCCCATTTTCTTCAACACAAAAAGTTGCATGGTGATGACAGAAGCGTGCTCAGGCCTGGAATGTTGAGCGCAATGTGAGCGCAGACCAGCGGGGGAGTGGGGAGGAGGGACAATCGTGCTTGGACACAGTACAAGGCAACTGGGCCAAGTGTGAATGCACGCCATAAGTCACAATCCAAACAAGTTGTTAACTGCGGGTGGGGGGGGGGGGCTGGTGCTGATATTTTTTAACCACTGACTCCACAATCCCTGAAACTGAGCCCATGACACACTTTTGGCTCCCGACTTACCAAATGGGAAACCCTGGTCAAAAATTCTAGAATGCATCCTAAAGTACAGCATGGGTAGGACATGAAAAGACCACTGACAGAGCACAGATGGGATTCGATTGGCCACCTGTGAAGGTGTGAGGCGAGAGTGTTACCCCAGGAGCTATGGGCACGCCCCTCCCCTGCCTTCTATAGGAGTAAAGGCATCTAGAACCTGAATGAACCAGCCTGATGCATTCTGCAAGCCATGCAACTTTCCAGTTATTCAGCCAAACCTTAGAAGACCCCAATCATCTGATTGAGCCTTTATTAAGCTTCGACTGTCACAGTTGTGTCATCTTGCTGCATTTTTCATGCTCACTTTCATGCATGCTCCGGGGAAAAGCTGATTTAGTGTAAGTGATACAGTTCTTATGTGTAAAGATTTAGCTGATATAATCAGGGCATTTTAGGACCGTGTAGGTCGCTGCTTTATGCGTAGTTGGGTTGAGCTATACATGTGGTTTGATCTTCACTGAATAAAACTGTAAAACAAAGTGGCTTGGTTACAATCCAGGCTTTTAACTGCAGTTTTGTCGATTTGGATTAAGGGCCCGAACACCAGTTATAATTTTTAAACACTCAGCGAAATTCAAAAAGGCTATTGCAAGCATTTTGATTTTATCAATCGCAGTTCGGAAAAAATAAAGTATTTATAGTATTTCATCTGGCAAATCATGCGGCATATTCTGCTCATTATCATTAAAACAAAACCAAAGCTTTTACGAAAACAATCAGATCCTCTATCTTTAAACATCAATCATTTTAACAATTTTGACAACCTTTGAAAATTGTTATGATGTGTACTCCATTGAGAAAATAAAGCAATATAGTCATATCAAATTTTCACATATAAATGGAAATTAATGTATTCTTGGAACTGGAAATGGAACAAAATATTACATCTAAATTATTGGTAATTTAATATTTTTTCAGATGCCAGACAGAGCAGAAGAATGGCTTTCTGGAGGTGACACTTAATGTAACTGAACTAATAATGCCTAACATTTAATACAGTGAAAAAATATAATGCATAACTATTTCATAGTGTGTCTGGTTATCTCACATTCTTATTGTTCATATATTTTTTTTAATTTATCTCCACTCTCACTCATGCAATCAATAAGATAGAGACTAAACAATAAGAAACACCCTGTTCCCCTATGCAAAATGACTGCATCGGAATTAATTAACATGACTCAAGGTGGATGGGCTCATCTGCTTTGTCCTCATCCCGCGTCTCTGCCAGCAGGCAACTTGCCGTCTTCAAATTTCATTGACCGCTGTCATATTGATCAGATCAATAGAAAAACAGGGAGCATTGAGGAAACAAAAATTGAAATAAAGCAAACAGACCACTCACATTAATGATGTCATTGGTGGAAGAGGATTACGCTGTGGCACATGTCTATTTTGTAGCTGGTTTTACAGTTGATGAGATTGGACTGGGTTTCTTATGCAGCAATTTTAAATGAAAAAGCAAATAGTATGCCTGTAATTTAAAAAAAAGTATTAGATTGTCATGAGGCCAAATTAAAGGTGTTGCTTTAAATGGTTTGTGAAGCAATGCAGTGTGAATTGATTCGTGAAGGGCTTCTGGGAGAATGCAACCTTTTACTTGAACGCAGTGTTGGACATTTTTTTAATTTGTGTTACACTACTGTAGATACTCTCACCTTGTATGCAGGGGTACTGTAAAGGAAGGGGAGTTAGAAAGATTCCAGGGGCTCTAAAATATTTGGAACTTAACTGGATTGGGGGCCCAAAATCTCTAGTGGCATCCCTGCTTGCCCTTAACCCCCCGCCCCAGGGACGCTGCACGCTGTGCTGTGACCCCCAAGCCTGCTCTGACCTGTATGTGCGTCTCACAGCAAGAGGGGGTGGGCAATAAGAGAATTCCCCTGAATAAAGTATCACTACTACAGTGGTTTCAAACCTTTTTTGGCCTGTGACCCCATTTTGACATCACAGATTTCTGGCTACCCCATAGACATTTTTTTTTCTAGAATTAGTTTTTGATCATGTTTGTTATACCGTGTTATTAGTGCACAAAGTCACATTTTATTTTTGCTGATCACATGTACAGTTAGGCGAGCTTGTCTTCACAAGGCTGAAGGTGATCACGATCGTTTTATCTGAACCAGTGGCGGGCCGAGACTTTTATTTAAGGGGGGGCCAAAGGGTGAGCAAGGGTTTCTCAGAGGGGTCCATATAAATATGATAGATGAAGGAAAAAATATTTTTCTCATACACACTCATAATAAACAATGAGTTTGTAAATGTTTGTTGAATAAACACAAGAAACATTTACAAAATCATAAACACCAATCATAAAGACCAAGCCTAATCTAATTAATTAAATTAATTAATCTAGTCAGCTAATTAAGCCCTCATTACAGTATCGTGAAGTTGATTCAAAGCTTTAATATGACATGCATAGCCTGCTTACATGCAGTAGAAAACTAATGACTGGTTCTCCACATATACACTTACCACACAGACTTCAAGCAAGGGCTAGCTTTGCTAAAATAATAAAACAATACTATTATCCAGCAGGTGCACTAAAACATGCATACGTACAAAGACGATCTATATCAGCACGAGCAGGGCTCGTGGCTAATTTAAACGAGGCATGGAGCAGACGGTGCGCAACGGTTTTATGCGGCGTACTGCAAGTGTGTGACCACCTCTCATTAGGAAGGTAATACAGTGTAATATGTTATAATTACCTGCTTAACTACTGCTGTTATCAATACCGCGGGTGTGTTTTGGATCATGTAGGAACGCGCGCCACTGCCAGAGCTTTTAGCAAGTGACATATGTCAGTAAGCAGCAGGCACAGGGTACTGCTGCGTCGTGATGCCTTCAGGAGCATTCGGAAATTACAGTTTTCCGCTCAAATCTTTGCCCGATCTCCTCATTGGTATATTTTAATGTTTAAAATCAAGTAGTAACAGAGCAAGGGCTCTGTTGTGGGTGGCAATTGCCACCCCTTTGGCTCCGCCCCTGATTTGAACTCATTTATATTTATTAGGGATGGGCCGATCCATATTTTTTTCAGTTCAGATCCGATACACAACTGCGTCTTATCTTACGCTCCTCGTACTGCGAAGGGTATGCGCATGAATTCACAGCAGGCGGAAGTCACTGTACTCACACCCACTGAGTGGCAAAAAAGACTGAGGGGCAGCGTTAGTGTTGGATTTGAATGCCGCAAAAAAAAAACATGTAAAATGGGAAAGAGCTGTCGTGCGATTGATTGTACAAATAGATTTAACACGAAATAGGAGCTATCTTTTTATAGACTGCCGAAAACTAAATAAGTAGCTCAAGTATAGGACGTGGATCGGTCACGCATGGCCGATACCCGATCCGTCAAATAGGTCTGGATCGGCGCCGATACCGATCCGAATATCGGGTCGGTGCATCTCTAATATTTATTGATATTTATGAACGTGAAAGAATACAGTTGTTTAAGATTGTATGTGGTTTCAGACATTTCAGGGGACCCCATTTCAATTCCAGGCGACCCCATGGTTGAAAAATACTGCACTACTACTTGATTTTAAAGCTTTATAAGGCTCTACAGCAACATTGCAAAGTAGAAAAAACGAAACAGTGAGAATTTAGTATAAAGAAATGTATAAGCAGGTTAAACTAAATTAATAAAAATGATCAACCCCTATATAATCAAAACAATTAATTAGCATTATTTTTTTTCATCCTAATGCAATGTTAATTTGCATCGTAATGAGTACCGCAATGATTACCACTATTTCTCATGCAAAGTCAGTCCAAATGTAATTGTACTAATAAAAAGCAACAATAAAAATATAAGAAATATCTAACAGAGTCGGTCTATAATGGGCAGGTATCCCATACAGAGCATCCACTGCCTTGTCTCCTGTGCTTCGGGCTTAACCTCCAGGCCCCTATGTGACACTACTGGATAAGCAGTTGGAAGATGGAGAATGATACGATCCATAAATTTGATTTGTAGACAGTATTCAGCCAGACTTTACGAAGACACGCCCAAATCATATAAGATCATCATGGCTATATCTGTACCTAACTGGTTAAGAAAAAAAATCAGTAGTACAATCACAAGTAGTACACCAAGACTGCAGCAGTTTCGCTGCGCACTAAGTCACACAAACAACACCACTAGGCACGAGCGCCAAATGAAATAAATCTGTTCTCGCGATATTTGAAGTCACCTAGTTACGGACAGGCAGTCCTATTGCTGTCTAATGAGAAAATGGCGGCCCGTGGTAGCTTCCAGACAGCGACAACGGGAGGCGGCGGAGCTATGGGCCCCGGTCCCCCGATAAGCGGCGGTGCTCCCGTTATGGGCCCGGGAACTCCGTCGGGGAGGATGGGTCCTTCGCCTGCAGCACAGAACCACATGTATCGCTCACCGATGCCTGGGCCTGGATACCCGGTAGGATACTGGGCTTTGGGAACAAAGGGAAGGGGATTGGAGGGAGGCTGGGACGCTAACCGAGATGCGCTTCTACCAATAAGTAAAAGCCAGATTTTACTGGTTAAATATGAATAGCTAATTAGCCCTCCAACCTACTCTCTACCTGGTTTCGATTTATGATAATCTGTGAAATGTGTAGTTCTGTGTACTGCAACGTTTTAACCTAGTTTCTAGTGTAAACCGAACGTTACCCGCGTATATTTAAGATTAATGAAAGTAGGATTTTTAACTAAAGTACGTACTTAATACAAAGTAAAATAAAAAAAATTGTCCTATTCTTAATACTTTTGTTTTTCATTTAGTATATTAGTTTATATTTGCTTATTTTCACGACTACCCGGGTCATTAATTTCGTAGTTTGTCCTGTATTAAGACAGTTAAACCCTGCAAAAAATACTATGGTAAATAATATGTAGTGTAAAGATATTTACAAATATTGGTTTACTAGTCAAACATTGTGCGACGTAAAAAGTATCGGAATGGTAGAAGTAGATTTTGCTTAGAAGGTTTTATGTGAGTGCTGTTACAGTTTATATACAGGAATGTATAAATGCACAACAGGCAGTAGCCGATAAGCCATGGGAACGAATGCGAAATGCTGCATTTATTTGGGATTTCAGAGTCGTGTGTTTAATTTGCGGCCGTACACACAGACCGTTCAGATTACTAAAGCGTTACAGTGTAACGGTGAACTGTCCACTGAGATGTGGGTACCGATTATTGGCACGCCGTCATGAAGGCTGCAAATAATGATGATGACACTTTATTGATCCCTTGTGGGGAAATTCTCTTTTCGCCTACCCCATCTTGCTATTCATGACACACAGACACACACATAGGTGAGAGCAAGCTTGGCAGTGAAGGGCAGCCATCTGCACCAGCGCCCATGGGGGGGGGGTTGGGGGGGTGGCGGTCTTGCTCAAGGGCCCACAGACGTGACCATTCTGCCGCTGGGCTGGAACCTTGCAATACGTGACCTTCCAATAAAAGGCATAGGACTTAGCCCGCTGATCCACACGCTGTCCCCCAAAACAGATGTCAGGACCTGGGTCTAATGCTTTCCCGTCTGAGCTATTTCAGCTCAGCAGTCAGTGAGTCAGCATTTAATTTAATCAGCAATTTAATACCAGATATGGTGATTTAATTACAACGTGTGGTTTTTAGCTCTCAACCAAGCATTTGAGTCCATACTGGTGTTTTATTGAGCCACCCGGAAGCATCACTGTGGAAGCTTATCACTAATCCTTCAGTTACTTTTTCACGGTAAGTGTTGAAAGATCACAACATTGGACGTTATATCAAACGATAATGGTGGTCATTCACAATGCACCATGACAGTGATAACCGATGTACTTTTGTGACGTTACCGATAACCTGATATCCTCTGAGCTCCTCGAATCTGGAATCGAACTGCTGTCATGATGACACTACTAAAGATCTTGTGGATGTGTGTAGTGACTGCAGAGCGAGTCAAAGCCCATGTGTCACCCTAGGCAAGCTTGTGTGCAGTATATACAAGTCATGCATCGTTCATTATTTCTTTGCAAGAAATTTCTCCAGTGGTTCTGTTTGAAATTAAGCTTTGTTTTCTTCAGTTGACAATCCTTGATATTCAGCTATAACTGTATATCTCTTGTGAAATAAATCAACTGTTTATGTGGAAATAAGCCTAGGAGGAAAACTAGTTAGATTTTTTTTTTTTTAAGTATGTGAAGTTCCTGATTATAACATAATAAGAAATGAATCCAGCCTGCTTCTGCTTCATTCTTACTTGTCATGACAGTAGAAAGTTCTGAGGAGCATTTGATGTGGTAAACATCACTGAAGGCCCCCTGGGCAGCCCTGGGGCCTGCAGCGAATGCCCGGAGGCTTGTTAAAATATTGACTTTTATATCAGTTGCCAAGTAATGGTTTTTTCCCCCTCTCTTCTGCTTTTGCCTTGCCGAAGACTGGCATCACAGAAAAGCCCGTAAAAGCAAATCAAGCATTTTTTTCCCCTTTGGTTATGTGTATGAAGATAAATGGGTGGTTCTCTGCATGGGCCCACAGCTGCTGCGTACAAAGTAGAAGGAATGTGACAGTCTGCGGAACCTGCAGATCACGTTTAGGTAGCTGGGACCCTTTCTTCTTGGCTCTATTCCATCTGTCCTAGAACTCACTTGCTACATTTTTATTTGTTCAGCGGGTGCTTTTTGTCCAGAGTGACGTACAAGCGAGGCGGATAGTTTATTTACTCACTTGCATGTGAAGGCAGTAAAACGCTTCTTGTTGTGTAAGGCTGAGCTTTAAATTCTACACTGTTGGAGAGGTATTATATTGTATATCTTCTCTGATAATAATGTGCTGCCTGAATCTGGACTCCTGCTATGGCAGCATATGAAAGACATAATATATAAAATGCAGGTTAACTCTCATTATAATTTGCTTTTCAAATTATTACTCTGGGTGCCGTAATGTTGGCTCGCAGGCATTCATATTTTAGTGAACTACAGCAGGATTTGACAGATCCATCCAAGTTAAACCAGATAATCATTATATCTACATAATATTGAACTATAGTATAAAAAGTCTACCAGTGACTTGGCAATACATGCAGGGTAGGCAACAGTTGTGTGTCTGACAAAGCTGATGCGATGTCTAGCTTTTGGTAGCGTGAATTTTTGTAATTGGTTATGTGTTCGATAATCTTATGAATCTGATGCTTCGGTGTCGAGGGTTAAACCATTGAAGCCTTACTCACAACCATTCACATTTAACTTGTTTAATTGACACTTTTATCCAAAGCAACTTGCAGTACAGGCACGGGTGACACACACACACAGACCTGTACTCTGTACAGTTACAGAAATGTAATCTTTATGCGGACAGTCCTTTCATTTCAATAGGCAAAACCCTAATAACAACAATGACATAGTGATGTAGTCAAGACCACCGAAACCAAGACCAAGTCATTACGAAGCGCTGAGTGTATCGAGACCGAGACAAGATCAGAAACAGAGTAATGTTTGAGTCTACATATCACAACACATAGCTTAGTATTGTGAAGGAATACATGATTAGTGCAAGGGGGAAATGACTGATTTTGCATCCATTTGGTAACTTGTTGAAGTTATCTGATAAACACCAATGCATGCTTTTATATATATATATTTATAACTTTATAACCTCTGAAAAAGTGAAATATGAAAGCATTGTTTAATTTATGATCCACTGGATAAACAGACAACACGGTTTTAGAGTCTAATGCTGAATGTTTATTGCTGCTGTTTTTCTGCTTATTTACGCTATGATTGGTAAAGTGAAATTTTGAGAAACTTTTAGTTGACATTTACCCTCAAAGAACAAACCAGCGCTGTAGCACATTTGCATGTAGAAGGTGTTCCAATTACACGATGGGCGCATTCAATTTCAACTGTTTTGATGGAGCTTGACATCAAACGTATACAAAATTTTGTGCATGAAAATTGCAAAAATATTAAGTAATCGTCTTCCTAATAAATAGAATGCTGCCTTTTGCTGTCATATCTAGTTGAATTCCAGTCCTTTTATTTATAGGCTAATAAATTATAAGTATTTTTTCAGAAGGGTAGTACGTAGATCATTGCTGAAGCAAATACGAGCTTTATCTCCCGTCTAATTTGGTCCCCACAATGTAATGTGTATCTGACCCTTTCACGCACCCACATTTAAGTGTGTGTGCTTTTTGGTAATTCGAACGTGCAATTGTCGGCACCCTGCTTAACTGCTGGTTAAGCTGCAGGAGCTACTGAAAGCCATTTTTCATCAGTAAACATTTTAGCATATATAATCCTACCTACGTTACTTTTGCCTGTTGTGTAATCCACTTAAAAAAAAAATTTAAAAAAACGTGATTATCCAGCATTTTCTGGAAATCCATGGATCTCATCTCCACCTGAGCTCTGTGTTCCCTTTTTGAAAGGGATGCTCTGTCTTTGAAAGGTACAGTGTGTTCTGGCTTCTGCTAAACCTTCCCCATCAGTGCCTCTGTTGAAATAATAATAATGTAGATAAGTGCCCCTCCCCTCTTATTTCATGTCACAGAAATAAAAATGTGCTTTTCTGAAACGTTCAGGGCTGTGGCCTTGGCTGGCTGGGCTTTTGTACCTCTCCTGTGTGTTTGTGAACCTGATTTTGTTATCAGCCTTTAACAACAGAATTCAGTTGAAAGGAATTCCTTAATGAGCCGCATAGTATTGTGTATTAAGTTTTAATATCAACTGTTAAATGTTTTTCAAGGGCGGCTCAGTGGTCGCCTCACACCTCCAGGGATGTGGGCTTGAATTTTGTGTGTGTGTGTGTGTGTGTGTGTGTGTGTGTGTGTGTGTG